TGGGAAATCAATGGAAATTCAAGGACATCACTCTTTGACTCTTAAAGCATAATTTTCTCTGGTTTCTATTCTTAAACCATTGTTTTCATTGTTTTTTGAAAAAGAGAAGAACTCAAAAGAACATTGAAGAACATCAAGAATGCACATGAAAAGAAACTGAAATCAAAAGAACATGAAGGACAATTGAATTGCGAGGAAACAGAAGGGAACACGAAAGGAACGTTAAAGGAACATAAAAAGAAACAAATCAGTAAATGTTTTTTCTCAGCAGAGATGGTTTCTTTGACTGTTTTTGGAAGAACGGACTTATCGGCACTTCGGCAAAAAATCAGACGGTACGTTTTGGCGTTAAAGCACCGTGGCTGTGCAGAAAACAACACGCGTTCTTCTCGTTTTTTTGAATGCAACTGTCTGTAGAACACTATTTCAAGTCAATCTGTTTTCATTCCAAAATTATCAATATCGCTTTTTTCCACACAGGCTGAATTGTAGCCACTGATCGGTGGTTCTAAGTTTGGCTACTGTTGTCGAAAAAACCGCAAGTTTGCGCAGAGACATTCCAATATCAAAAGCCCCCGTCGCATTTTTTGCAAATGATGCGCTGGTTCCTTTCATTTCCTTTGGTTTTGTAGATGTTTGAAGGGCCAAGACAGGAACCCGAAGGAACCCGAAAGAAAATGAAGACAACATGGTGGGAAATCAAGAGAAATTCAAAGACATCACTCTTCTTTCACTCTTAAAGCACAATTTTCCATGGTTTTCATTCTTAAAGCCGTGTTTTCATTGTTTTTGAAAGAACATTGAAGAACTCAAAGGAGCATTACAGCAAATGAAAAAACAGCAAAGGACGAAAAGAAGAAAGGTACATGGACATCATTATTTTCATTCTTAGATTATTTTCAATTTTTGAACACGTTCTTCTTCATTCTGAAATAACTCGTTTGTCATCTTTTTTCAAAAAGAGACATGGAAAGACCATGAAGGAAAACTAAATTGAAATGACACCAAAATGAATACGAAGGAAAACTGAAAGGAACATGAAGGGACATTGACGGGAACATGAAAAGAAATGCAGTAGAATGACAGATGCAGGTAATTCAAGGAAATCGCTCTTTTTTCAAGCAAGGAGACAGTGTGATACTGCATGGCCTCGGCCTTACTTTGGCGAGCCTTTTCAGATGCAGGGTTTTTTGTATACATGTAGCGATGGCGCCATATAGCGATATATGCATGGTAATTCAACGCTGCCTTCAAACTTAGAAGGTGCATTACAAGACCCCCCCATTCAAAAATTATCTGTTGTTCTGAAGTGCCGATCTTCACACTTTCTAAGTTTCAGGCCGGTACTAAATCTGTGAAAAAGGACGATACGGACAATACACAATGCACCCTAGACTTCGCAGCAATGATGCAATTTGTTTCTGTGTCCTAGATGTCTTTCCACTGAAATGCTGAAAACTTAGGTTGTTTTTTTCGCCACATTTTGGAATTCTCCGGCTGCCGGCTTGGTTACTCCCCCCTCCGTGCCTTTTTGGCCCCATCAGTCAGCAAACTGATGCCTTTGAGTTTCTCTGCGCACGTCAGACCAATTTCTCCGCGTGTGTTTTCGATGCGTTAGTTTTTTTCCTCCCACCTGTCAGGTAAGGGTTGTTAGATTTTATGTCAGCTCCTCCGCCTCGTCCGCCTCCTCCTCACCTCAGCCGCAAGTGCAGGATGGCAGTGTTCCCCGCCAGACCTCCATCGCAAGTACAGGATGGCAGTGTTCCCCGACGGACTTCAACCGCCAGCTCCCCAGCGCACTTGCCGGGCCTCAACCAACACACAATCGCAAGCTCCACCCCAAAACACAATAAATAACACACAATCAATCGCAATCACACACGCACAACCACAACACACACATCCACAAACACAAACAAACAGCAGCAAACGCAACCACACACGCAATCACAGACACACAATCGCAAACACAACGCAAACACATCCACAAGCACGTAGTCACAAACGCAACGACAAACACAACCACAAACCCAAACGCACAACCGCAAACACAACCACAAACCCAAACACACATTTTTACTAAGCACAAACACAATCACAAACACACAACCACAAACACACCCACAAGCACGCAATCGCAAACACACTACCACAAACGCAACCACAAACTCAAACGCACACACACACACACAAAAACACAACCACAAACACAACGACAAACACACTACCATAAACACACAGTCACAAACACAACCACAAACACAATGACAAATACACAATACACAATCACAAACACACAACCAAAAACAAACACACCGACAATGACACATCCACAGCGCACAACCACAGCACATTCCCGAGGACCCACAAGCAAAGACAAGAACCACAAAACTCACGACCATGGCAACATGCTTCCTCACCATGGCATTCAGACAAATGATTGAGATGTCATGGTGGGGATCACTCGAAGTAAAGTAATTTGGTATATTATTAGTTTTTATGTTCATTGCTATTTTTTGGGGGGTATTCTAGTATTCAGTATTCTAATTGCTTGCTGTTTACTGGCCCGCATAGGGACGGCCGCAGCAACCAGCTACGGCTCAGGTTCTCTGGTTCATGTTATTTCGCATTTTTTGAAACAAAAGAAACACATCATTTCTCGTCGACTTCACTTCACCATGATTTGCTCCAAATCTCATACCTTAGCCAGAGGATCCAGGACCGTTCTCAGGATGTTTTTTTGTTGCCCAAACGAGACCCATATGAAAAAGATCCTGAAGGAGGGCCTCTGGAACCTGTCGGTTAAAGCTGACACTTTGTCGACTTGTGTTTCATTAGTCGATGAATGTCGGCCAGTTTTGCAGGCACGCTTTGACATAGCTGGAGGGCCGTGATGTCAGGACCTATGCTTTTGACTGCGTGCTCTACTGGAAATGGCATGCCAGAAATGCATGTTACTCCGTTTCCACACAAACTGACTTTGTGCCGGCAATGCTTGCATCGAGCCAGTGTACCATCATGCCAGGAGGAATATTTTTTCATCCACACTGTCATTTTGTGTAGATCAGCACTAGTTTTTGCTTGGACGATGGGAACAACCCTGCTTCTGAGATGGCACCTGTACATCTTCGTTTGAACAAACAGATCACGGAGTGCACATTTTCACATGAAAGATTATCAGGGTAAGAACTCTCCCCATCGAGCATCAGGAAAACTTCTGGCCGAGGTGCCAATCTGCCAGCTTTGCATTCCTGCTAAGATGGGATGGTCATGACGATAGTGGAAATCGCACAAGTGTTTTACAACATGTTCCTCAAACACGGGAAATCACCGATGAAGGAGTAGTGGGGCCAGACAAGGATAATATCGATGGCACCTGTATGTAGATACTCCCTCCCTGCAATCATGGAAGTGGACAACCCCCTGTTTGTAGGGAATTTTTTCCAGAACTATTGTCCATATTTCGTTTGGGGGGCTGGCAACCGGGCATTTCATTCATAGGTGGAAATCAAGTTGGTGTTTATTCACTCATATGAGCAACCACTTCTATTTAGGCTTTACTAAAATAGTCTACGGCATGCTCTATGTGTTTGTCTATCATCAGTATTCGCTTGTGAACGAGATAGGCCCCCTACATAAACGATATATTTTTGTTTGATGTCACTAAAGTAATCTGAACGAGATGGAGTGTGATCTGCTATGAACGAGATACTGTGACATGACCTCCTGCTTAAGTAGTCTAAACCAGATAGGGCCCCCGTATAAGAGATAGTGTATTTGAGCTAAGTACCAAATAAATGCCGTGGCAAATATGAGCAGCTGCCAAAACCTCCGATGAAGGCAGCATCACTACAGTGAAGAGTAAGTGAGTACAATAAGAGAAGCCTTCAGGCACAATAAGGTGCACAAAAAAGAAACGATAAGATTTTAGTACATGTTGTTAGGTGTGTCCAAACCCTCAGGAACTATAAGGTTCACAGAAACAACGGTAACGTTGGGAAGGATGGGCACTGCAACACACAAGAAAGAGGGTTTGCACGTCGCTCATATGTTTTTTTAATGATTCTGATAGCCTGATCGCCCTCACAGGCGAGTGTTAGTTGTTGGATGTTGTTGGATTTCAACGTACTTCTCACACTCGGCCTCGATGCAGCGCAGCCACGAATTCTTTTCACCTGGATCCTTGGAATTTCTTTGCTTCCTGTCATAGTTGACGTGGATTGTGGCTGAAGCATACTATCCACGTGGATTTGGACCAGAACTCTGTGCTTCGGCGTGGCATCTGGAGCCTTTTTGGGGCAGTCCTCCCACGTCAACATGCCAAGAAGCAAGGATCTCCGTAGCTTCAGATCCTTGCCGTTCTTAACAAACAGTGTTTCAAGATCTAAGATCTCCTTCCTGTTGAAAAAAGAGCAGCTCAGCCGCTCCCCAAAAGAGAGGCTCGGAGCGACCCAAGGGCCACAGACCCTTCGGCGCCGGGGCTTCCCGTTGGAAAATCCAATCGGACTCTTGGTTGACGAAAAACCACTCGGTGGAGAAGAGGCCAATCTTCTGGAATAAGACAGACGCCTAGGTGGTTGTGATAACAAACCGGTTTGACCCTTGTGAACCCAACCACTTCAGGTGGTGAAAAGGACACCAAAAGCGGAGATTTCGTTCGAAAGCCGTGCTCAACAACCTATATGAGGTGGTGTGGCAGGTTGGTCCATGTTTGGTTTTTTGTTCGCCATTTGATGCAACCTCCACAAGAGTTCTTCAAGATGACTGCAGGCAATTTCTGGTCGTTTTCGGGTACACACATGTAGGGATGATATGGGATGATGTGGGTAATTCATATTGGAACGTAAGAGCTGTACCCCGGTACGCGTGCCATGTCCAATCCAGAAGTGCCAGCCAAGCGCATGTGAAAACTGATTGCATTTGCCGAAGGTGCTTTTGCCCAAGGTAGATAATATTTTCTGAAGTCCAGCCGTTACGCCGAAACGCCCCACGTGAACTAGATGGAGGAGCCTACCCAAGTGCAGGAGGCATCCGAGGACATCACGCGCCAACGGTCGACGACGGCATCGAGCACTCATTCATTCGACTCAACTAGTGCCAAGGTAGTTTTTTAGCAGATCAATCTTTTGGGTATATCCACGTGTTTTATGACTTAATGGAGTCAGTATTGTGCGGAATTCTGTGCCTTTGGGCATGGGGCCACAGAAGACAGAAACTAGATCACTGCAATATCATTGAGTCACTTTGTGGGGATACCATTTGTAAACAAATATATATATATATAATGTAATATAGATAAGATACATGTAATATACACATGGGGTAGGGGTCTACAATTAATTGACATTCTGACATTCGGATTCTAGAACACGCACGCCTGGGAACTCCAACAATCCGTCGGAAAGAACCGAACTCTCCTGCTTATTCCAGCAAATCAACATCCCGCCCTTTGAGCTGTGGGAGCCCTCTAGCTGGAAAAGAGTGAAACCTATTGAAACCAACCGTGGGAAATGGTTTTGAGAGATTGTGACAGTTTGTTGTGCTTCCCACGTCAAGTCGTGTGGGATCTAGCATCTTGAGGTGTTCATTGATATTTGCCTTGTATATTGGCCCAGCATGGCCCAGACAAACCAGTGGTCTCCTTGCTCTGGGTCCAAAGCTTCCTGAAGGCCATTCTTGAAATGTCCAGAATCTACATGAATCCTGAAGAACTACGCGAAATGCAGAGGTGAGACTGGTGAAACCGGTACAAAAGTTGATAACCCTTCTTTTGCGATCCTGTGAGACATTGTGGGACCCTTTTTGGAACCATTTTTGATGTTTCGATTCAAGACAGTGCCCGTTTCACAACGTCCCAGCCGGTCTGACCGCCGGTCCACGGTCCGCAGGAACAGGCCACAGAGTGGCAACCGGTGAGTGAAGGAAGTCCTGTCAGTGGTGCGAGTCGCGAAGATACCGCAACTGAGCTCATTGACTTTGATAATCTGGAAGAAGGCCAGCCCGGACACACGGTCGGAGAGTCATGGTCGGAGAAGACCCGCTACTGGTCGGAGGCGATCCTAACCGCTGCCATACCGAGGGTACTGAGTTTGGATGAGCTAATTGGATGGGCTGCCAGACTCGATCTTGTTAATTAGATGACTCTCCGAAACCTCGACCTCAATCAAAGAGAAAGGGACACACACACACACAGATCTCTATACTCTTTTTCATAAAGGGTATCTAAGCCTAAGCTAAGAACTTGAGTCCCCGAGGACTCCATCCACCGTGCGGCGTCACTGCTTCGCCGCCGCGAGCGGCCCGGAGGCCTCTCGCCGAAAGACAAGATCGGCGCGGACACGATGTCAGACCTACTGGAGCTGCCGGGGCACCGAGGGGGTGCAGGTTGCGTGTCGCCCGTGCCGCACTGGAGGGGAGACGTAAGCTAGATGAGGAGCTTATGCAAAAGGACTTCTAAGGAGCAACAATCTCTTGGCTGCCAACACATGACAAAACTATGCAAGGACCTGCGTATAAACAGTCAGCACCTGGAAATCACTTGGAGGTGTCTAGGGTGTATCTGAACTAAGCCTCCGGAAGGACCAGAAGGAGTCTAATAGAAATAATTGCATCGTGTTTGGTCTCAAAAGAGCTTGCACGACTGTTCGTAACCACAAAAAGATTGACCAGGTGGATCTGAATTCACTCTCATATAAAGAAGAGAACATCATAGAAACAGGCCTTTTCCCACCACTGACCCTCAAGTGCAATATATCCGGCTCAGGTCACAGACCGAGGTGGTAGTCTTGAACAAGTCCTGGGAAATGTTCATGGTGGCCCTTGGCGGTGAGCGAGAGACGGTGGGCGATGCCATCTTCGGGGCCTTGAGCGACCGCTTGGTCTGTATCAAGGAGCACAGTCTCGCTACTGTCTCGCTGTGATTGAGTTGAAACCACTTCTGACCACATCTCCGGCAGGCGAACCGCTGCCTTTTTTTTGATTAGATGATGCAATGTCCAATGCTGATGACTTTCGGGTTTGTTTTTTTAAATGTCGACTCCAGAGATATCGTTTCCGTTGGTTTTCCCCATCTCAATGTTCATGGTCATCAGACCTCAGATCAATGTGTTGGAAACCTGATGAGGATCCTTAGCACTAATCTCTTCATGGGGGAGGGATGCCCAAGAAAGAGAGAGAGACATGTAAACATTACAAGATAACTTGGCAATAGGACCATAGGATGTCGGATTGTTGAATTTACACAAGTAGGTTCAAGAAATTAGAGGGTACTGGCACCAAAAACATGCACATTTGGATCATGGGCCACCCACACCGACTCACACCTTTACCACCTTCACATCCATTTGCGTCTTCGTGCCGCCGCAAGACAAGACATGCAGAAAAGGTGCATGCAGGCGAGTTAGGAACTCTCGGGGTCTCCGAATTCCAGGGACACATGATGATACCCAGACGCTCATGGGCCCTCATATGGAGGGGTCGGACCCTCATATGGAGGGCTCTGGGGTCTCAAATCCCTAGGGTACTCCCTAGGGTTTTGAGGTACCAAGAGCTGTTTGGAGCGTCTGGTAGGACCCCAAATGCCCCCCCCCCCCCCAGCGCTTCACTCCGTGCCAAACGTCACTTTCTGATACCAGTTTAAAGGGTGATTCTCTGGTGCGCCCCCCCCCCCTCGCTGCGGTTGGCGGATAGTGAAATTGTATAACATTGCTAGCTCCATTCGACGGGTTTCTTTCTGTTTGACAAACATCCTTGAAAATGCCAGGACAAAACCAACTGCCTGAACTCCTGTGTTTGGGCCTCCGCCTTCACTGTGCACATCTGTGCACCGTGCAGTCGGACGCGGTGTCCTGTCGGACCGCTGGCAGGAAGCGTTCAAGGGCCGACCAAGGGCGATCATCTCATTGAACTTGTTCAATGGCTTCCGCCTTCTTTGCAACAAAGCCGGAGACGCCGAGGACTTGAGGCGTGGGGCCGATGGGATGGGCGAGGCCGATGGACCACGTGGGGCCGATGACACCGGCGGGTGCGTGAGCGCGGGCCACCGGATCCACGTTTAGAACATTATAGAACTACCTCTGAGATGAGATACGAACATATGATCTTCTATGAGGGTACGCGGGTACGCGCCCAGCAGGATCCAATGGGGTACCAAATACCGTTTCGGGTTGGTGGCGGATCGTTTCGGGTTGGAAGATCCCCCTGGGGTTGTTGGACGAAGAAAAAGCGAACTCCGCTTGCCGGGGTGTCCGACGTTCTCGTCTTCTCCATGGACAGGTCGAAAATCCGGTTCATGAGCACCTAGTATGTTCGGGTGGCTCCTTTCCAAACTCTCCAGAAAAACCTTTGTCATGGTTCATTGTTTTTGGCTTGTTGCTATCCTACAAATCAGAAGAAAGTCTTTGGTTCTTCTGGAGCATGTTCCAGTGCGTCCTGATGGTTCACTGACCACCACTACCATGGACCTTTTAGCCTAGCGCAGACCAACGCTCCGCAGGGGACTGACCCTCAAAGGTGCTCGATCAGGTTCTTTGCAACAAAGAAACTTCCTTCAAGACCATTGGGATATTTGACTTTTCCGGGGGGCCGTCAACTCGTGTAGCGTGTTCAGCCGCGTGGGTCGTTTGAATTTTTGTTGTTAAAGAAGTGGAGTCGAGAGAGACAGTGAGATAATCATAGTGTCTCTTGGCGGTTGCAGAGCTTCAGCCTGCACTGAAATGGTCCTTTTTTTCACGCGGGCTGAAGACTATCAGTGGAAAGAGTTGTGTTGATAGAAAATTGAACATCAACTGGATCCCTCTTTGTGAGCAAAACTGGTTTTTAACATAGTTCGGGGCCAGGGTTGGTTTCGATTGATCTCTTCACACAATTTGCGGTTGTATCCGGATCCATATGTATTGGCCAGGGAACCTTGCAACGGAGCAGGGCCAGGGTGGGCCCTGGGGGGGGGTCGACCAAAGATGTTTTCTTTTTCAGTCGACCCACCTCGAATCTGAGAGTCTTATTACAGTTTAGTTATTTTGGATACTGTATTGTGGATGTCAATGTGTTCCTGACGAGTTCATCGTGTTTTCGGGAGGCCTGTGGTCCTGTGTTTTTTTTTTTGACATGGGTCGGAGGAATTGGAATCCGAACGTTTTATCACGATCAAGCTGAGCATGGTCCAGCTTAAAGAAGAACAACTCAATTGTACAACAATTTAACCGTCAGTTCTGTGGTGCTAATTGCTCATGTTCCTTGAACTGTTTGTTTGAAACGCACTGGGAGCAGACTAGCTTTGGCGTGGACATGTGATACAATCAGCTTAGTGGACTGATTAATCATCAAGCCGAGTACTTTGAGATTTGTATATAGAATCTGATCCCGTGTGGTCAAATTTTGGGGTTGCATTGTTTATCCTTTGCAGTCTACTGGAGGGGTAATCAGCCCTGGTGATAAGATTAGTAAGCACGATGCTCCAATAGACCAAATGCCAAAATGGTGGACATGATTCATCAATCTCAAGTACAGGGCGAACTCTCCGTCAATGGCTTGTTAAGGAACACTTCCCACACATCCCTGTGGGGCCCAATCCCTAGAGCCTTCGAAAAGCACTAGGAAGCAAGTGGAGACTTTGGCATTCAAGCTGCTGGGCTGCGAGTGTGTTGTTCTTTCGCTCCATGGCAATGTCATGGGTTGAACCGCTCGAACCTCCACAAAATAGTTCGACTGCATGGGAGGATTTGCGGGACAAGTCCGGTTCAAGTCAAACAAAGAATCTCAACGCTCGAACGGCTTTGTCGTGCCAAGTGTTGATTTACATATAATTACACATACTGATACATATGTTGTTTCCTGAGATGTTTTGTAGGATGTTGAGAAATCAAAAGATCTGAGAGGACGGATTCGCCCGGGGCCAACCAAGTTTCTTTGACTCGGATTGCACTCATTCCCTGGTTGCTTCCAGTTACCCTGCCTTTAACCGCTGTATGGGTGTGCAGAAGGATCGAACATGGACCTGTACCAAGGTGGTGCGCTGTGCCTTGTGGTACGTCTCACAGTAGGTTCTGAGATCACAGCCTACCAAGTGCAGTGATCCTCTGCAAGGTGAGAAGATTCACAAAGCTGTGTATTTCATGCTCGGGATGGCAAGGCGTTCCAGAGCAGTTGCCAGGACGGGTAAGATTAATGGTGTTTTTTGCTTGGTCAGACAGAATATTGTAGTTACTATAGAGAAAGCAGCATTTCCAGGCCGGGTGACAGTGAGAAGGACTATGAGGACAGCGATATGTAACACTTCCAGTGACAATGAAGTAGGTATGTACCCAAAAGGGTTGGCAGTTGGCAAAAGGATTGGATGATCCTTAAAGTAATAAGTATGTGTCTGTTCTTTTGCAAACATTGCTAGTTCAATGAGTCGGTGTGCAACAAGTGTATGAGCCGCCTGAGAACCAGGGAACCAGGCCACTCGAAGCATCACATCAGGCACTGGCAAGCCTTGCACAGTTGCAACGTTGGAAAGCTTGTGGGAAGCTGCCAGCTGTAGACACCGCAAGTGATTCATTACAGATTTATCACCAATGAAGGCTTAGGGCTTAGGAATTAAGAAATAAATTAAGACAACATAGATAATAAAAATAATAAGTGTATGAAAATAATGGGTTTCTACATGAAATTTACTGTAGACAAAATATTATAACATGAAAGATATAGAATTAATTATATCTGACCTTTAACTTTTGTAAATGATAGGATAAAATAATAAAGATATAGAATATATAAAAGAAGAATAATAAAGGATAATGAAATTAAATAACCAACACATAGAATCCTAGATCCAAGAATGAATGGTGTCGAAATCTCTTATTAATTCATGAAATATATAAAAGATAAATTAAAGTAAGGATAAGAATTAAAGAACCCATCATGAAATATAAATAGATAATAAATGAAAAGGAACGGCAGCAATAAAATAGAAATTACTAATGATTGCTGCCGGTTATCTATCTATTCTTTTTGGTGTTATGAAAAATCTCTTTGTCCTTTATTTTAATGGAGATTTTTCATATTAGTTCCTGTCTTTTTCGTCTTGGAGGTCCTTGGCGAGCCACAAATCAAGGGTTAACCGATGGGGCACAGTGGCTCGCCTGGGATTCCTTGGGCCCCTTCACCGCTGTCATTCACCTTCCAGTTCTTTCCAGCGGTTACGATCACCCTTGTCAATCTCACCTCGATAACGCCACCAAAGGGGAAAAATTAATGGTAAGAAAAAAGTGAATTAATGTTTCCTTCCCTTTGTCCCTCATCATTTTATTTATTTTCATTCCTCATTAAATAAAATGATGGTTTACTTTTCTTTTTACTTTATATTGCATGATCGCTCATTTAATTACTAATTGAGCGAGGTTATCGGCTAGGTTGTCAATATATCTTTCATTAATTATTATATCATAGCCTAGCCGATAGAAAATAATAAAAGAAATGTAATCTCTATCAGCTAGCCTATGACCTTGTGGACAAAATAAAATAAAAGTCCACAATCATGAAAAGTAAAATACTATATTATAATATCTATAATCTATAATCTCGCTCACGATTCGTCAGTAAATGTCCTTTTTGTTCGTGAGCGAGTAATCCTTCATTAATATATTGGCTTTTTACATTAAATAAGATAAAAGCCATGTAAATAGCCAAGTTAATATATTAATTTCTTTATGATTGCAACCTCATTTTAATTTAAAAGAGTCACTATAATATAAAAATGAGGTTGCTATTATATTTACTGGCCATTAAATTCATGGCCATATATTTATCTTTTTACCTTCTTTATTATTATCAAATGACTGCAGATTTAATTTCAAATATCTGCAGGGTCAATTTCTATTGCCTGGGCACCACAATAATCCCTACACCTGTAGGTCCGTAATTCCGTGTAAGCGCCAGGGTCTAAGTCTACCTGCGCCAGGGCAGTGGTAGAATTCACAGGACTATAGATGATGTACTACCATGGCCTTGAAACAGCCTTTCATGTTTGTTGGATTACGACAAAGGCACCTAATGTGCAGTGAGGATTTAAACCTCTCTCTCTCTATACAGGTTATATATTGATTCACCAATATGGGCGATGGGAATTCTGATTCCCAGCTGGTTGGCATGTACCATGTCTCCAGCACCAAGTCTCACTTAAGCAGGATACAGAGAGGGAAACATTTCCTCAGCACTGGTGATCAGGAACAGCAGTTTCCATGCTATATAATTCTTTCACAGAAATGCTTCATCCAAAAGCGTGCCAAACAGCCAAATAAAACTATAGAAAACAGTAAGAACAATACATCCCAAGAATTCCCAGCACATCATCATCCAGCAAAAATCCAGGCACGAGTGGTGTTCTCATTTTGACGGTCGCTGTTGCCTCATGCGTTGCCTCACGCGTCCACGTGATCGTGTCCACGTGTCCGAGGCATTTGGGCAACGAGATCAACCAGCAACGAGTGGACGGTGTCACTGAGTCCTTCCTGGAGCTAGTGCAACAGAGCCTTTGGCCGATGACGAAGGGGACGAAGGAGACCAGACCCGAGACGAAGGCAGCGAGACCGTGAGGGTCGGTTTTTGGACCAATCACCAGTGGTTTGGGAGGCTTTTATGTCACAAGTGTCAAGAGGATCAACAAGAAGTAATGTCAGGAGTCAGGAGTCAGGAGGTGGTGTTTGATGTTTGCTTTCTTTTTTTTGGGGGGGGGGGCAATCGTGAGCCTTTATAGGCTAATTTATAGGCCAGTATTTTGGGGTTCATCTTCGGCCTACTGTTGGATCCTGATCCATGACCTTGATTATGCGGTCGTTCTTTTCTAGGGACTCTAAACAACAGTGTCTCCAATCACCTTCTCACAGGGAGGCAGTGGATCCATCGGGATTGTGTATTTTTCCGTCGATGAATTCTGGAGTCCCACAAAAAACACAATTCCAACAACCGTCGGACCATCAAGCATGGCTCAGCCGTTTTGTTGTTCACTTGCTATGCTTACGGACGATAGTACAATTGGTGGTCCATCGCGTTGGTTTCAAAGATAGCTGGAATAGGTTCCAAGAGTTGTGAAGGGCTTTTGGTGCGCTGAGAATCTGGACCCAGCAAAACAACTTTGGAAGACTGAGTTGGCCTGTATCTCGTATTTCCTTCAGCTTTCTGAAGAGAAGGATGCATGCTCACTTCTCTTTGGGGGTGATGGTAACAACTACAGACATATACCGACCAATGTTCATTCGATGAATATATAATTGTGTTTCTAAGAATCAGGCTAGGTACTGCTAGTATAGGTACCAGTTGCCCGTCACCTGAACCATGGCATTCTCACAAACCTTATCTCAATTGATTTCCTCACCCTATGGATCCACTGCCACCCTCTGACAAGGTGATTGGAGACACCTTGACATAGGCATGCGGCTTCCTAGGGTCGTCAAACCTCGAGGGTGAGCATATGTCTTTGATGCCAACTACTTTACAGCTACTCACGCCTGAGCATCTAATAAGCAGCTATTGCCACTCATTGGCTCTATCGTTAAACACTCACCCTTTGTAATGTTTAATCCTGATTAGTATAAGGGTCCTCTATAATGACAAAGTTTTCAAAAGTAATTCTGACCCCCAGGTTTGTTTTAAGGATCATCCATTGTGCTATTTTGTTGGTGGTCTTAATTTGTTTATTATTTTGAAAATGATTAGTGTGTTAAATCCTTCGGAGACAAGTGAATACTACTAAGCCAATGACTGGCTTGCTGAGATTATTGATATGTGTAGGTTTCTCTAGTACTTCTTCACAACTGACAGCTTCCCAAGGCCATCAATTCCTAATCAATTGTTTATCCAAAAAAAAATCAAGGTAGTACACCAGGAAGGCCCCTGATCCTCAAAAATAAATTGTGTTGTGGGTCCTCAATTGTGCAAAGTTCTTTTCCTCAGCAAAAACACACAAACGGTACTACTAAGCCAATGGCTGGCTTGCTGATCAAAAGCTTTCCAAAGCCATCAATTCCTTAGTCAATTCTTTATGTAAAGATTGCTCCTAAACACATGTTCAAGGTAGTAGACCAGGAAGGCCATTGATCCTTAATAATATAATATATGTCTTTAAGGGTCCTCAATTGTGCAAAGTGTTTCCTCAGTAAGAATACATATGGTTGTCGATCTAAAGGTCCTAGACAGGATTGTTGATGACAATGACCCGGAACATATCAAAATATCATTTGGCGAAAGTTCGTTCTCGAGTTGGCGATTTTTTTTTGCGAAAGATATGGCTAAAGCTGTTCGTTCTGCTGCTGTTGCTACTACTACTACGACGACGACTACTACTACTACTCCTACACTCCTCCTGCTGCTGCTGCTACTACTACTCCTACACTCCTCCTGCTGCTGCTACTACTACTACTACTCCTACACTCCTGCTGCTGCAGCTAGTACTACTACTACTACCACTACCACTACCACTACGACTTCTACTAGTACTACTACTACTACCACCACTACTACTACTCCTGCTGCTGCTGCAGCTGCTACTACTACTACTACTACTATTCCTGCTCTGGGGGGTGGCTTTGCCACAAGGCTCTACCCCGCAAAAGGCGAAAGTTTGGCGAAAGTTCAGCTCAAGATTGGCGAAAGTTCACCCTGCCACATCTGACCCCCAGCCCATTATGAGTAAGTCTGAGTGACCGGCTACTACAGTGATTCTTGCAATTTTGATTCTTGCTGACACCCAGGAGAAACAAAGAAGAAGAAACCATTGACGTGAACAAAATTGATATCCATCATACAACATACATGGCACACATAAATACAACATACTTCGGCGAAAGATAAAGCGCAGGAAGGCGAAAGTCTGGCTAAAGTAATTTGTTTTGGCTACGATGACGGACCCCGGATAAAGGAATTTAGATCAACACCCATTTACAATCTTAGTAATCCTTAATACTACTAAGCCAATGGCTGGCTTGCTGAGAGTATTCATAAGTATATAGTACATAGGTTTCTTTAGTTCTTCTTCAAAGCCGCAGAGAACCTGAGAACCTTTTTTTCTACTCTTCTTAGTATGTAGTAAAAAAAGGATTGCTGAGAATATCTACAAAGGAGAATGCATATATACTACAATCAATTACCACAAGAATCCTCCCAGGAACCCAGATTTGTTTTGGTGGTAGTTTATTATAGATGCCCCCCCCATTTGTTTAGAGGGGGGATCCCCTTTAAAGATGCCTGCTGTAAGGCACTAGAGAGCAAGACGATCAAAACATGCCTCTGGTTCTTGCTGACCACAGGACCTTTGAAGAATGGCGTAGCCGGGACCCCTTCCACGAGTCCGCCGGACTCCTCCGCGGCCGAGGAACGTACCGAACTTGCCCCCGGGTGCTGTGAATGTGTGGCAGAAGATGCTCACCTACACCGGCTCTTGCTGCAGGCCTGTTACACAAGTGTGTGAGGTTTTTTTCTTCGTGATAAAGAATGAAAAAGAGGAGGTTCCATACCCGATGTACGTAGTACAAGCAGAGGAACCAAGAGAAGACCCATGCTTACAAGTACTTCCAAGAGCCTCGCCAAAACTATCATCGATATGTGACTTATATATACATATATTTAGATTATTTTAGATTTAGAGTCACAGTCAGTCAAAATTCAGTGTCGATCACTTTAGTAGGGAAGGCGCAGCCGTGCTGGGAAAGTGCACTAAGCCATGTAAAGCGACAGGGCCTCCCCCCAAAAAAGACAAGCAACTTCCACTGTTGCACCAGTCCGAAATCATTCATATGTTTGGTTTCCAAGGTCTTACACCAAGAGCACGTTCAAAGTGGAACCTTCCAAGAGCACCAAATGGCAATCCGGCGACTCCAAATGTCTTTGTTGTTTTTGCAATGATGAGACATCCTGTCCTGTCCTCTTCCTGTCCTCTTCCTGTCCTTATTGAGTTCTTTCATGAACATGCTTAACATCTTCACCATGATGATGGCAGTTATTGGCTCATCATCCCTATGCAACCATGACGATCTCAACTCCTTTTTGTAGCATGTGAGTGGAACAAAGGAACTGGATTTACTTTTAAATCCCTATCACTACGGCATCGCTGCGTCCATCGCCCGCACGCCGGCATCGGTTTGGCGGGACCTTGGATGGTGGTGCGTCCCATGTCTTGACCAAGCCAGGTACATCAGTGCAACCTACACTGAGAGGCTGAAGATCATCCAGGCCTCGGCCTCGGCAGAAAAAAAACGAGGTCCCTTCTGCCAGACTGCTGGACCCTCGAAAGCCAATACTATTGGCCTGAGGACATGTTTGCCCCAGAGAGTTTCACCCAGGAACTCACAAGGAAGGCCTGATTTCACGAGCGAACCAGCTTAGTGAATCCTGGAGACGTACCCTTCCCAGTTGACAGCATTTGGGAGAGCCCTGAGAGATGGACAATTGCACAGTCACAAACAGAAGTGAACCGCACAAACACTTGATCTGTTCATGGTAGTTCTACTGATGTTATTTAAGTTATTTGATGTTGCATCACTTTGCTGAATGACACCCCATTCGCAGTGACTTGTGTACCAACTTGTTTGTATTGGGTGCGGGTCCTGGCTGTCCAGAAAAAAGCCATTGCCAGGTCTTTTTCTTCCAGGCCACCCATCCGACCATCCGAGTTCACTCGGATACACTTCATACACCTCATTTAAAAAATAAAAATAAAAACAAGCACTACGGGGTGACATGGTCTATTGCAGGGAAGATGGTTTTCTCCCGGTGCTTCATTCAAGAAAAGCTTTGTCGAACTTCTATGGTGTGGGTCACCCCCCCTTGGCTCCTTCTTCGTGTAGGCCAGCGGGGCGAACAGTTGCCATCCCGTTCGTTCCCGGGAACGCCCGTCCGGTCACGTTTTGGCCCAGGGTGCGCACAAATAGACCTGCAAATAGGAACGGATGAATTGAACGTGTTCGAAACTGGTGTGTTTAGAACATGACAATCAATCTGTCATACTACGAAGTGCTTTCGTTCTTCTCGAGTGCCGCAATCTAATCTCCGGTGCACCACCTCCTTCCCTGCATTGCTCCTGCATTGCTCCGTGCGCACGTGTCCGCGACGACGCGAGCGTGTTCGCAGGAAGACTGGGCAGTCATTCAGACCGCTCAGGAGGCGGATGCCAAGGAGCACGAGGACGGAGAAAAGAAGCTTGATGGATGTGGATGTGGCACATGGACCCATGGAAAGGCCAGCAAGTATATCTCTACATAATAACTATATCAACACACGTGTATGTATACATTTAATATATAACATTTAAATAAAAAAAAAGACATATAGCTTATTTTTCTTCAAATCCAGGCATAGATGCAGGGTCTAGTTTGGATTCCATGGACGGTCCAAGCTTTGCCTGCTGGAGCTAGTTTGCAATTGATTCAACTAGTTTTGAGAAGTAACCGACCGTGCCCGGCTCTCCATGCTCCGTCGCTCCGTCGCCGCGCAGAGCGCGTCCCTCCTGACGCGCCCGAGGAACGTGGATCGCAGCTTCGGCGGGATGTGCGCCTTTAGCAACGAGGTCATCGGCCAGGAGACTGAAGGCCGACGGAGGTGGTTAGACGAGGTCAACCCGGGCAGATGGGTGTGTGTTTTTCCTTCACGAAAAGTGGTTAGACAAGACCCACATCAGGTGTTTGCTTTGTTTTTTTTTGGGGGGGGGTGGTTAGGACCTAGGGTTTTGGGACAGGAACTCAGAGAACGTCGTCGTAAGTGACCAGTGGTTCCGAAGTTGGATCATCCGGGTCCGGAGGTCTTCCCGAGCGGACAACCAGCGGCTCGGATGTCGCAAGGCTGGATGTTGGAGCTGCTCCAGGTCTTTGGGGCTGCTTGGCATGAAACCAAGAGCAGTTTGGCCACAGAATCAGCAAACTAAGAGCAGGAGAAGCCATAAAGCAGGAGCTTCAATCGGGAAACTCGGGTGCAACGTAACAAAACAATACCTAACACTACTGTACTAGTATACACATTAACATACTATAATTAAGACCAATAGTAGGAGCAACAGGGAACAACAGCCGCATGATGAAGCATGCTTCCACATGGTGCTCGTATGGTGAATACTGAGTCTCCATGCGCCTTCCGAGTCATAAAAGCTCGCTTTGACACGTGGGCGGTCAGGAAGGAAGCCGCGCTTCGGGGGGAGGAAAGGACGTGAGCACTGCTCACCTCACATTGTTTTTTTTCCTCAACGTCATTAGTGTTTTTGTTGGACAGCCGCGGATGGTAGTAGTAGTCAGGACCCAGGTTAGATGTCACGACTTCGGCGTTGTTGAGCTTCCATACGCTTCAGCGTTTGAGTGATGATGACCAGGTTCTTCGAACTGCAACAGCTCAGAACAACTGTGCCCGGAGGGATTCGGTTGAGGATGAAATGCCCTTCAGAAAGTCGTTTCAAGGCACTTACTTACTTTCATTGAATATATTGAAAACCTGAATGACAGGAGAAAGGTGTTTGTCTCTCTCTCTATTATATATATACATGTATTACTGTATGATATGATATAGTAGATGCTTCTTATTTTGTAGCAATCATCGTCCAACGACGTACATGTTTACCCTTCTCCGAAAACCGCCGTGGGGGGAGGTCTCCTGAGCTCCGGCACTCGTCTTGATCGCCCTTTCCGGGGAACCTCGCACAGGTCTTGGTGGAACGGATCGGAAACCCTTCACACTTGCTGGAGGACTGGGAATCAAACATCAAAGCATCCGCTCCTCCGGCCGAATTGCTTGAAGGCTGAGACACTACGCAGCTCTTGATTTGTTGATGGGTTGAAGGGTTGGTTCCCGAAGTGCCAGGTTCCGTCATTGGAAGAGGAACTCAAGGGAATGGGTACATTTGGGTGGCAACCTGATTCGGTGGTTGCATACTGGAGAAGGGGCTGGCGGTTTTCAGGAAGCCAATTGACCACAGGCAGTGCGTGCCTGTGCCAACGAGATCCAACTAGCATTAGGGTGATCAAATTGCTGGCGGTGCTGATGGTGAAGTGGTGCCTTCACCACCTCTCATGAAACAGAGCCTGTTATTAGGGTGATAGTGATACTCTTCAACAGTTCTGATTTGATGAAATTGGCACAGTACATGAATTGGCATTAGATGTTTCATGACGTTTCATTTGAGGGCGAACTCCACGTCGGCAAAGTTGAAGGGGCTGAGGTCCCAGTAGAGCGGTTGCTTTGCGTGTGCGTGTGTTACACTAATTGTTGAGTACCGTCTTTGAGGTTTTCGTTGGAGCGGGGCAGTACCGTCGGGATTCGGAATGATTCGGAATGAATTTTGAGGATTCGGTTTGCACCCAAATGTGACGCTCACATGCTCCAGTGTTGATGTAAGAGATCCTGCGCCGCAAAGAGATGACGGGAAGCATTTCCAGCCGGGACGGATTTTGTGCGGTCCTATTCGATGGTTCGGCTGCGGCCAGTTTTCGCAACCTTTATCAATGAGAGCCTGTTTTTAACATTTAAAAACAAGTTAAAAAGATCAAATCAGAAAGGGAAATAACAGCAACAAACAAATGCCCAGATCCGACTTGTTCTTTACTATTATTTTTCAAAATTTTGACTTTTTTGACGTTATTTTTCCATGTTTTTTGACTTTTATTTGACGTGTTGCTTTTGTTTGTTTAATTGTTATTTGTTCGAGTGGCTTTCTATTGTTGATTTAATTTGTTTTGACATTCTTTTGTGTGTGTGGTTTGTTAATTGTATAATATTTTTATTTGGCAGTATATTTGTTTGACTTGTTCGAGTTGTTTTGTAACTGTGACTGCTTTCTGACCTTTTGGTTGTTTTTTGTTTTTGTTTCGACCTTGAATGATTAGTTGTTAACGATTTTTTGGACTTTTTGTTCAACATGTTTTGACTTTTCAATTTGACTTCTATTTTTTTGACTTTGACTTTTCCATGTGACTGTTGTTTCTTTTCTAAAACCAGGATTCTGGCCTTACCATATGAAAGATATTATAACTTGATCGATTTTTGTTCTTGTTTGACTCTTATATACCTGTCATGCCTAGGACTTGTGATTTGTAACCAGTCTTCCCAACCACCTATATAAGATCGAAAAGACGGAGATACGGAGTCACCTCCAGTCCAATACTCAAAAACTGTACAGACATGAGCAAATTGGATGTTTTTTGGACGGTTATATACCAGGACTGTAATTACTCTAAAGACAAGACCATTTTTAGACCGCATATGTTATATAATATTATGATATATTAATTATGTATAATCATGTATAATGCAAGAGTTCCACTGGGGTGATTGTTGGAATTCTCCCGGGAGTGAAAGATGAACGTACTCCAAAAAATGACCCCGACATGGAGCTCCGTGATAATGTATTCACTAACAAACTACATTAAGTCACCTGTGACTCTTGAGTGCTTTTCAGGAGTGCGAGCTGCTTGCCATCAGCATGATCAACAAGAATAAGGACTTCTGAATGACCTGGTGCAGAGTGACAAATTTTGACCCTGCCCAAGCTGGGGTCCAACTTTCTGTTCTGTTTGACTTCGAGTTTTTAAACCTAGTCAATGGACCGAGAACGGGCCGGTACGGACCGTTCGGTAGGAGATGGGGGGCGGTATGGTCCAAATCACCTGACCATTTGGTCCAGTCACTGAAAATTACTGGGTGTTGCCATCTTCATACTCGTTTTGCAGCTTGAGTGTTTCAGATGTCTTCTGTGTGAAACAGCTCGCAGGAGTTTCATCATCGGGTGGTCTCAGGCTTTTTACTGCCGTCTATCAACAGCCCAGCTGGCCATTCCAGCTGGGTAGTGCCTCAAGAAACTTAACACAGTTGCACCTGAAAAGGAGGGTTTTGAGATCATTTCTCCATACTTTACACCTGAAACTTCACTTGGCCTCACCAAAGTCAAAGGGTTCACTCGCAATGTCCAGGTTTCGTGGTGCCAGGCTTCGTTCACTCCGCTTCGTTCACTCCGCTCATCCCGCGAAGTTCCGCCAAGCTCGAGGACATTGACTTTGACCGGTTCAAACCCGTGATGTTAGCGGCCCTCCGCTCACTGTTCCTCGACCAACGCGCTTCGCTTCTCACGCGCTCCACCGCTCGGTTCTTCGCGAGCACCGAGCGGCCAGTCCAAAGGTCTCTAGATTGGCCTGGAGAGGTTTGAGCTAGAATGAGAACTACCTGGTAGAGGGGGGAAGTGGATTCCCAACGATTCCCAGCCGGATTCCAGTGGATTCCATGCATCATCATGACCGCAGACGACACATCCCGACCCTTTTCGAATTGATCGGTGTTTTCGATCATTTTCCGAGCAAATCAACCCCATGGATTTATGTGGATTTGGGGGTTCAATGTGGTCTTTTGCATCTTAATTGTGCGTTTATGGACTGAGCAAGATCGCGCAAGACCTGCAGACGTCCTGCTGACGATCGAGCTGCTCCCCGTTTTCGCAGTGGCTTGCCCACTCTTTGTGTATTTCAATTTGGGAGAACTGAGAACAACGATAAAGACGATTAAATATATATATATATTACCAACTGTATGACTGACAGCAGTGTTTGGAGTACCTCTCCCTGCCCATGCGTTTTTGAAATCAACTGGCAACACTGGCATTCCAGGGATTGTTAGGTTTGGGCTCAGTTTCCTGATATGTCCTCATGATATTGAAGACCCGGATGGTCAAGCCTAATCCGTAACAACATCGACGTCTCCCGCCAATCCGATGGTCAAGCTAGCCTTGCACCGCACAAGCCCACGACCTGATGCAGCTAGGCTTCCCAAGACTTGGAGCACTATGCATGAAACTGCCTGGGAGTGGCTGTGGACCACCATTGCCCACAACCTCGGCGAGTCCACCAGCAAGGCACGGGGCAGCCTGGGCACGGCCACGGCCACGGCAGCGCATGGTTCTCGTTCGATCGATCGACCCCCCCTGACACGTGTGTCTACAGCTGGCCATCTGCCAGGTGAAGGCCTTCAAGACCTACAACGTTCAGCTCTTCTCTGCCTTGAAGGAAGAGCGCCTTGCCACATCCGAAGGGCACCCCACAGCAGGTTTACGGCCGACAGAAATGCCCAGATCCGTCGTTCAAGGGAGAAGCCAGATCCAGGGGCGGAGCGAATTGACAGGAAAGTGGGAAACCGGGATCAGGACCAGTGCGTTGGCCTCATCTTTGTTGAGGAGTTGAAGAATCCGAGTGCTGTTGCAGATGTAAGGAGGAAGCTAGTGATACTTGGCGGGGTCCCTTCTTTATGTCGTTTCAAAAATTCCTCTTTCAAACAAGTCTTACATGTTCTTTTCTGCGTGTTCCCTGCAAGAGCACTCAAGAGCCCTCCTCAAGAGTGGACTGCGACTTGTTGTTGGAGCATAAACTCAATGTTCAACACCACCATGAACACAGCTAGCTAATGGCCATGGTCCAATGGTAATGTAAAACCTTTTAATCGCGCCCACATTTGGGTGTTGAAGCCTCTTCATAAGTTGAGTAGTAGTGGTGGTGGTGGTGGTGGTGGTGGTGGTGGTGGTGGTGGTGGTGGT